TCATTTAACATTGAATCTCTCCTGTAAATTTACAGAATCTGTACATATCCAGGAGAGGTTCAATGTTAATCAATCTCCTACAAAGGGACACGCGAAAAACACTTGTCCAGACGTTTTAAAAACACTTTTCCCGACCTTTTAAACATTATTTCTGCCTTGTAAAGTGCTGTGATGAGCCCTGGTAGTATCAGACTATTTTAAACAACTTTCCCCCACCTTTCAAACCCTTTTCCTGGGTTGAAAAGTCAGGTGCTGCATCCTGCTCTCTGGGTACACTCTGTCTCTATTTAGACCACTTTCCCCCACCTTTCAAACACTTTTCCCGGGTTGAAAAGGCAGGTGCTGCATCCTGCTCTCTGGGTACACTCCGTCTCTATTTACACCACTTTTCCCGACGTTTCATACACTTATTCCTGCCTTAAAAATATCAGGTCCTGCATCCTGCTCTCTGGGTACACTCTGTCTCTATTTATACCACTTTTCCCGACGTTTCAAACAGTTATTCCTGGGTTGAAAAGTGCTGCGATGCGCCCTGTAAGTATTAGACTATTTAATACACCTATTCCAACATGTGAAACCCTATTTCTTCCTTGTCAAGTGCTGTGATGCGCCCTGGAGGTATCAGACCATTTAAACAATGTTTACCCAGGATTCAGGCACCTTCCCTGGCTTGTAAAGTGCTGTGATGCACCCTGGAGGTATCAGACTATTTATACAATGTATACCCAGGATTCAATCACTTTTCCTGGCTTGCAAAGTGCTGTGATGCAGCCTGTTCTCTGGGTACAGCCTTGTGAAATTAGCTGATGCTGTCTGGAGCAACCGGTACTTTGCTCCTATTTCAGACACTTTCCCAGAAATTTTGAACACTTTTCCTTGCTCAGAAGGTGACTTGTGTCCATTTGTAGGAGTTTTTTTAACATTGAACCTGTACAGAATCTGTACATTTCCAGGAGAGGTTCAATGTTAAAAAACCTCCTCCAAAAGGAAAGGCGAAAACACTCATTCCAGACATTTAAAAACACTTTTCCCCGCCTTTCAAACAGGTCAGGTGATGCATCCTGCTCTCTGGGTACTCCATGTCCATATTTAAGACACTTTCCTCCTATTGTAATCACTATTTCTGCCTTAGAAAGTGAGGTTCTCTACACACTTTTTCCCCTAAAATGATTTTAAATAATTATTTTTGCATTTAAATGCATTTATTTTGTCATTAATATATTTCCCTGAAAATGCACATACTCTGGAGCTCACTGGTGTCCTGTATATGCTTTAATCAGGCATTTTAACACTTTTTGCCATGAAAAATATTTTTAATCACTATCATGGGGCTCTATAAATCCAATTCCGGGTGATTCGGAGCACAATTGTACCTTTTAATATTTAAATGTATTTGTATTATATATTTTTGGGCTAGGAAAGTGACATTTCTGGGTGATTTTGTCAGTTTATGTAGCTTAGCCCACAAATCCTGGAAGTTCCAGTTCCGAATTTGGGTGCTCATAGGCAGCCTGCCAGGCACACCCACCCGTGGAAAGAAGAAAAGAAGTGAAGAAAACGGTTAATTATATCTTAAAATAATCAAAAATGAAGTTTAAACAAATGACTAGGTGCCAACGGAGAAGGGGCCCGAAAAAGCTCAACCCTTTGGCGCTTCGGGTCCTTTTTCCCCTTCTCCTTTGTAAGTTGCAACGGAGAAGGGGAAAAGTGTCCGGGGCTTCATTTCCCATTCTCCGTCAAAAATATTCATCCATACATTTTGGACTACAGTCTGCACGAAATCGGAAACCCGGTTTTTGGGTGCAATCAGAAAAAAAAATGGCTGTCTGCAAACACGGAGGTGAAGTGTCCGTGCCTCTGGAGGAATGTAATTGGAGTTGACAGGGCACTCTACCCGCATTTTCGGACACTTTTTTTCATTTTTCACCCTTTTGGCCTGGATCTATTTATTTTTATTTTTTCTTCAGTTTTCGGCCGTTTGACCCGGTTCCTTCTACCTGGGGCACTGCCCAGTACCGGGTGTCCCCAGTCGGCCCTCCACTGAAGGGGTGGTTGTGCCAATTGTTTTGTATATTAAAAAAAAACTGTTCCTTATTAATTTACAAAGATAACTGACAATAAGTGGGCGAGACTTTCAGATGACTTACAGTAAGTGGGCGGGACTTTTAGATGACTGACAGTAAGTCGGCGGGACTTTCAGAGGACTGATAGTAAGTCGGCGGGACTTTCAGATGACTGACAGTAAGTGGGCGGGACTTTCAGATGACTGACAGTAAGTGGGCGGGAGTTTCAGATGACTGACAGTAAGTGGGCGGGACTTTCAGATGACTGAGAGTAAGTGGGGGGGCTTTCAGGCGGGACTTTCAGATGACTGACAGTTAGTGGGCGGGACTTTCAGATGAATCAGAGTAAGTGGGGGGGCTTTCAGATGACTGACAGTAAGTTGGCGGGACTTTCAGATGACTGACAGTAAGTGGGTGGGACTTTCAGATGACTGACAGTAAGTGGTCGGGACTTTCAGATGACTGACAGTAAGTGGGCGGGACATTCAGGCGGGACTTTCAGATGACTGACAGTTAGTGGTCGGGACTTTCAGATGACTGACAGTAAGTGAGCGGGACTTTCAGATGACCGACAGTAAGTGCGCGGGACTTTTAGATGACTGTCAGTAAGTGGGCGGGACTTTTAGATGACTGTCAGTAAGTGGGCGGGACTTTCACATGACTGACAGTAAGTGGGCGGGACTTTCAGATGACTGACAGTAAGTGGGTGGGACTTTTAGATGACTGTCAATAAGTGGGCGGGACTTTCAGGCAGCACTTTCAGATGACTGACAGTAATTGGGCAGGACTTTCCTCATACACTTACAAATGTAATCTCATATAATATTTAAAAAAGACAATATATTCTCCTTTGACTAACATCTGTTTACCCTGCTTTGGATCCGTTTAGTAATTTAAATGTGACCATATGAAAGAATAACACATCCCTCATTAGACTCCATGATGTACCTATTGGTCAAAATCAGAGAACGCAGCTTTAAACAAAACCAGCTTTACACAGATCTCAAAGCAGCGTCCATGGCAACCACCTTAGCAACCATGAAAACGTTGAATGTGTACATTATACAATATGTCCTGTAGTAATCTTCGTAATAACTAGCAAACTAAAGACCATGTACATCCACTGCACAAATAATCTGAAATAACAACTCATATTTCTCGCATCAAATGACATCAAAACGCATTTTAATGGCCAAACTAACTTTAAAATAGGCATTTTCCACCGAGAATAAAACGAAGGTCGGTCATGTTTTTGTTTTTCTGCGGGGAGAAATTTGAAGATCACGTGACATAGTGGTGAATGGTGAAAAAAAACGTAGGGATCCTACAATTTCAGAGGCGTTTTTGTAGAAATACTACGTCCCAAGTTGTGGACCAACGTAGTTATTACACGTTTAGATGGGAGACTGGGTTGGTGCTCTCCTGTGTTCTCTTGAAGAAACGCAGGATATCAGGGTTTAGTCATTGATAAAGAAATCATAATTAAAGGTGAGAGAAACTTGGATCTGTGCAGCACTCTTTTAGGATTCAGTGATTACATCTCCCTTAACATCTGTGTGTGTGTGTGTGTGTGTGTGTGTGTGTGTGGTGTGTGTGTGTGTGTGTGTGTGTGTGTGTGTGTGTGTGTGTGTGTGTGTGTGTGTGTGTGTGTGTGTGTGTGTGTGTGTGTGTGTGTGTGTGTGTGTGTGTGTGTGTGTGTGTGTGTGTGTTCAAGCCATAGGATGCCACAGTATTGGCTGCTTCTTACTCTGGCCCCCCGTTGGATGTCCTGATCGGTCAGGCGCGGGACGATCAGTTCCTGTCGGCCAATCAGCTGCTGCCTGACAACCTGATCGCCGTCGGCTCCGAGAATAAGATCGTCTTCAGACTGCAGCCGGTATGTCTAACGCCTCTTTAAAGTGTCTCAGAAACAAGTGTCTTTATAACTGTCATCCTTTATTTTCGCAGAGTAAATCCTCACTGTGTCAGAGCGCCCTCTTGTGGTCACTCTGACACAGTGCCTTATTTTCCTGTTACTGTGATAAGATGTGCAGATAATAAAATATGTTGTTTGCTTAGAGATTATAAAACAATAATCACATGTAAACCGATGTTCCTTCTCCACATGGTGGCTGTCAGAGAATGAGAGAATGTTGCTATATAATATACTGATTATGTGGTTTGAACCCACATTTTGAGAACCAAACACGTCGTTTTGTGACTGAATTCATCCAAATCAACCCCAAAACCTCAAAGTAAATTGTTTAAACTGCATTTTAATAATAACCAGTATCCCAAAAGCATCAATTGTATCTTTAATTGGCTTCACATATTGAAATATCACCTCTTTAATTAGATTTGTTGTGCTTAAATGCACCTGAATCCAGTATTTTCTAACAAAACCATTCATCTGTTGAACTGATTACTTAACCAGGAGGGTTGTATTCTTATTTAAACTTTAAAAAAGCAGTTTCTCTTTGGTTAGTTTTGTCTTAAATCTCTATTTTACTATCAATAGTTGTCAATTTATTTTTCTGTTAATTTTAGGAGGAAAAATCTGTTATTTTCTTTCAGAAATTCTTCACTTAATGCATGAATGTGGAGTTTTTTAAAGCTATGTGTTGTGTTTGTGCTGCAGGGATACGACCACAGCTACTTCTTCATCTACTCCTTCATGAGCGATCACATCAAACATCACCCAAAGTTCCTGAACGCACCACGGGACAGGAAGCTCTGCCCTGACTTCCTGCAGGATTCAGTTCAATAACTTCACTTCTGTTTTCTAAATCATATAATTAAGTCACTTCTTTAAGTTTGAGCAGCACTTACCTGAGGGTTTAAATAACAGGAGTATTAGTTTTGGATCATGGAGCCACAGGAAATGTTTGCTGAGATCTGATTGAATCTCTGCAGAGCTGCAACTCAGCAGAGATTCTCAAAATAAATCCTCAGAAAATCTTTTTGTTGTTTTGTTTGTGATTGAAGTTTAATCTGTGAAAACATTATATTCAGGGTTCTTACATATTTTTCAAAGTCAAATTTCTAGCACTTTTAAGGTGCATTTCAAACTTATCAAGCATCTTACAGCTGTTGTAAATTACATATTTATATACACATACTTATCCTCAAATGATTATTTCCCTACCTCACATTAAATCAGATGTTCTTCATGCTATGAACAACCAGATGTGTGTTTCGTGATAGCATTCTACACAAGGATGATAAATTAAAGAAAACAAAGTGTAATATTTCAAAAGGAGTGACCCATCTGTAAGTAGACTGGTGCATTATATGCACACATATACTGTATCAACTCAAAGGTGAATTCTCCTTCACATTGAATCAGAAATGATGCAAATCAAATCAACTTTCAATCAGTCTTTGAGCTCCTTGAGTTGAAAAAGCAAAACAAAAACCTGCACAGAACACTGCACTGAATCATTCAAGGTCAGGCTGAACAGCATACGGCCTATAAGGGAGGGTCTTTCAGTTCCTTGAGTTTGTCCGTTAGCTGTCTCTCCAAAGTCTCCAGATGTCTTTCCTTTTCCTTAGCAGCTCTTCCAAGGCCATTGGGCTTGGAGATGAAGCTTAGTTGTCTTTTTATGCAACTGTGTACTTCTACTCCACTACAGTTCAGAGGTACATGGTGTACTTCTACTCCACTACATGTATTTAATACCTTTAGTTACTTTACAGATGTGGATGAATGATGTGAAATATAATCAAGTGTTGAATCAGACTTTAGTTCCACCTGGAGTAAATTCACCAGCTACCCTGCAGTATACAAAGTCATTCAAACTAGCTGCACCTTCACCAGCTTTGAGAACACTTTCATGATCAATCATTATAAAACATATCATATATATTATTCTGAAATGGAGCCTCAGTGACCTTTGAGATATCACCCTCTTTCAATCCCAAGAAAACATTCCTCCTCAAAGACACATTCACCTCCGACAGACTTTCACTTGTGGACTAGAGTTATCCTGTGGATGAACTCAAGGAACACTATCTCCACCTACAAGGCCTTCCCCTTCCCTCTTTCCCAAAGTGCAGCCTCTCCTACTAATAGGTGCAGATAACTTTCACCTCATTACCCCAACCAAAAGAGTCTCTTTGGGTCCACAGGGGGCACCAATAGCCCTCCAGCTAGGTTCAAATAAAGATCTCACTCCTCACCCATCAGGGCATCCACGGGAACGCTCCTTCATACCTCAAGGAACTACTCTCCTCACAAACCTCCAACCTCCATTCTACAACCAACCATCTGCTTCCCCCCCAGGACCAAACTCCGCACCATGGGGGGGCTTTCTGTTCACCTGTGGAATTCCCTCCCAGACAAACTGAGGACTCCACAGACCACTGACTCCTTTAAGAAGGGCCTAAAACCCTTTCTTTTTTTAAAGCCTTTTATTAAACTTGTGTTTCTTTTAAAAAATAAAGTATATTATGCCCCTTGTAGCACTTTGAGATTACTTTTAGCAATGAAAGGTGCTTTACAAATTAAATGCATTATAATTATTATTATTCTTATTCTTATCATTAGGTTGGACACTCCAAGGCCCCCCTATTCAGGAGCCATCGGATGCCCCCCAGAGTCTCTTCACCCCAACTGGAACCCCCGATGCCGAACTCAGTCGTCAGGTGGAAGAACTATGGCAGATAGGTGTCCTCCCCTTTCAGGAAGAGCAAGGCATCACCAGATCCAAGCGCCCCTCCAGTCCAGTGGACCCCCTTCCAGCAGCTCATTGACCGGGTCCTGCGTCCCACTCTCAGTATGCAGATATCCGGATGACTACATCGTTCAAAGTGAGATGTTGGGGCAGGTGAAGGCGGGGCTTGGAGCTAACCTGAAGAAGAGTGAGTTGGGGTATCTGGGGTCGATGGAGTCTCCTCTCTGGTGCCGGGATGGGTGGGAGGTGGTGGTAGGTAGCAGCAGGAGTATGTGCAACACATCTTTCTTCTCAAGAAATGCTTTAGGTACAATGGATTGTTTTTGTTCATTTCATATTGAGGAGAGCTAACAGGAAGTCTCTCATCAGCTGCAGCCTTCTTCTTTATTTTCCAAAATGCCTCCGCGCTCCTCTTCACGTCTCAAACTCGCCCCGTGATGAAGAAACTGAGAACAAATCAAACCTGAGCTTGCAGATTTGTCTGGAACACCAGAAGCACGTGTTGAAACCTCAATAAATAAACTTCACACGGTACGACCTCTCACCTTTCTGTGTGTCTTCACTTCCTGTCACCTGAGAGGAGAGAGAGAGAGAATAATGATGATGATGAAACAAAGAGAAACAGCTCAAATGATGAAGAGAGAAAGAAGAGTGTTGTTTTCCTCTGAGGTCAAGCTCCATTAAAGAGTTTCATATCTGGATGAATGGAGGATATGGTTTCAGTACTCACGGGTCTTCTGGATCGTGGCTCTGATCGGCTCATATCCTGTGATCCTGTAGAGACGAACACAATCCAACAGTTTGAGATCCAGTTTAAAATAAGTGTTTGTTCTTTGAGTCAGCTTCAGAGTCCTGATCTCATGCTTTACATCCCATCATATCTCCTCTGCAAACACTACGACTGCCACAGCTCTCAGCTGCATGACAGGAAGTAACCAGTCATTGGTCTAGAACAGGGGGGTCCACACTTTTTTCACCGAGGGCCACATACAGAGAAATATATAAAGCTCTGGGCCGCTCTCTAGAGGAATGTTGTCTCATGAGTTCAGTTATAAGTCAGGAAACTCACATGAAGGTGAAGGATGCTTGGTACTTGAAGATGCTTTAAGAAACAAACAGCTCTCAGCTCTCCAGAGGGTTTACTTTATTCTGTCAGCAGCTCATTCCTTAAAGCAGGAGCTTCACATTGATTATAATTACAGGAAGTATGAAGGTTTATTTCACGCTTGTTATAACAATAAGTTATTGGGCTTTTTTCTTATCAAGTTAGATTTGTTAGGAAATGTTTTCAGCTTTAATTGACTGCATGTATTTTAAAGGTGGGCTCATTAACACATGAATACTACTGTGTAATATATGTGTACATATATATTTAAGAAGTACAAGACAAGACAAGCAGAAGTTTCATGTGTGGGCCGTATTTCATTATACTTTCAGAATTTGCTGAGGGCCGCATTTGGCCCCCGGGCCGCAGTTTGGACACCCCTGGTCTAGAAACTAAAAACATCCCATGAGAACAGACTACCTTTCCCGCTCTTCTGTAAAACCCCATATGTCTGATAGAGAGTTGATACTAAAGTGTGGCTTTGCATGTTCAGCTGGCCTTCTGTAGTTGATGGAAGAATGGAAGAGCCTGCAGTCAGTGGGTAACATCACTGATCTGTTTCCCCAGTGAGAGAAACACCTCCCTGAGTTTCATACAATACTGCTGAAACAGCAGAGACCCCTCACTGACCAGAGATCCTCCAGGCTGCAGCCTGGACTCTCCAGAAGATCTCTCAGCAGCTTCACATCTGAATCCTGCAGATCGTTGCCCAACAGGTCCAGAATTCTCAGATGGATGTTGGACTTCAGAGCTGAGGCCAGAGCAGAACAGCTGATCTCTGATAAACTGCAGCCATACAGACTGAATAAAGAAAACATGATGAGGATACAAATCAGTTTATAACCAGATGTTACTCAACATTGAAATGAATGGGAACAAAAACATATGTCTTCTTCAGAAAGTTAACTTTATCCTGTAAGACTAATATTACTTCAGATGAACTTTATTCAGACGTTATCGTTTACTAAATATTAAAAACATAGATTTACTTTTAACAACTAACATCTATCACAGTTCCTTTAAGAATCAAACATGTATCTCTGCAGTTCTTACTTTAGTACCTACAAATGAAAGTATGAATACAATAACATTTACAACTGAATGGATGTAAGTTAATTACGTAGAAGAATCAGGTTGAATAACTAATGAAACATGAGATCTCCAGCAGTAACAGAGAGTCAGTGAACTGACCTGAGTCTCTCCAGTCTGCAGTCTGGACTCTCCAGAAGATCTCTCAGCAGCTCCACTCCTGAATCCTTCAGAGCGTTGTAACTCAGGTTCAGAACTCTCAGATGGGAGGGGTTGGACTTCAGAGCTGAGATCAGAGCAGAACAGCTGATCTCTGACAAACTGCAGTGCCTCAGTCTGAATAAAGAGAACATGATGTAACTTTAGAAAACAATGTTCCTGTTTGAAATCACTCCAGGTTTAATAATCTGTTCAGAGTTAAACAGCGTTTCAAAGGTCTCCTATCAGGCTATCTCTACGCATATATTATGGGTCTCAGATATATACAAATATATAAAAACATGTCTATGATGTGTTTTGCTCAAAATACCAAACAGATCATGCATTTTAGAAATCCCTCATATCCCTCTGTTCCAGCTGTTAGAGGAGAGCAGGTTCGGGTCCTTAGCTTGAACAAAAAAGAAAGGAGGTGGAGCTAATGCCTGATCAGAATTCTAGCAGCAGAAACACAGCTAAATGCTGCCGTGATGAAACTCCATATCATGTTCCAAACCACATCAAGGATTCTCTCTGAAACAGGATGGAGCTCAAACTCTTTCTCTCTCTCAGGTTTACCACGAGGTGAGTTCCTTTTTACTTCCTGCTTCTTCACACACATGCTCTCTCCAGCACAGGTTAGCTCTGAGTGTTAGCATGCTAATGTAAACACAGACCATATTACTTCCAGAACACGTCTCATTGTTTCCGACAGCAACGTTTCTGATTGGCCCGTTGGTGTAAAGCCCGCCCACATTTTAGTAATGGCGTCATGACGCAGCAAATCTGGATCAGCTCCGTTGTTCCCCCGTTTTTAGAGATGTGGGAACGGAGGAAAAGAGAGAGGGGTTTGTTTCCTGACACTTTGTGAGTCTCCTGACACCGGGGACACATGGTGATGTAGAGAAGACATCACAAAGTGACTTTTGCATGATAGGAGACCTTTAATATCAGAGATGATGTAGAAACAATCCACTGATGATCTGGAACTTTAACTTTGATCAGATGTTTATCAACTCCTTCATCTCCCTCACAGCTCATCAGTACTGACAGCATCTCCACTGACTCATGGAGCACAGAGTGAGTCAGTGGAAGCTCAAACACTCTCCCTCACACATTCACCTACTCTTTGTTATTCTGATCAATATTCAGTCTTTAGCAAAAATGGAAAAATAATTGTAATGTATTTTTTTCAAATTCAGAAAATGATAAACACAAACAGATGAAGTTCAGTCAGTGAACTGACCTGAGAGTCTCCAGTCTGCAGTTTGGACTCTTCAGTCCAGAACTCAGCAGCTCCACTCCTGAACCCTCCAGATCGTTGAAACTCAGGTCCAGATCTCTCAGATGGGAGGGGTCAGACTTCAGAGCTGAGGCCACGACTTCACAGTGAGCCTCTGAGAGTCCACAGTTAGTGAGTCTATAATAAAACATATATTACAACATGTGTTAAAAAAGAGGAAACATAATGACCTCAAGCATTTGATGAACAAAATATTTGACATGTTCTGATTGAGATTTGCTGTTAGTCCATTTTATATATAATAATATATGATAGAGTGTAATGAGTTGTCAGTGTGATCTGATCACAGGTCTGTGCTCCTGCTGTCACTGACTGTTACCAAAGAAACAGAAATTAAATAAATCACTTGACAATATTAGAGATGTACATATTTAAATGTTGATTAATATTTAGATGTGAATGATGGATGTTTTGTCTTCTCTGAGCATCTGGAAATGTATTGCGCACAAACACAGTTAACAAACCAATAAAGTTTCAATATTCTAAACTGAATACCATCAGATGTTCTCACTGTATGAGTATTAAGACATAACTCTGGTATTGGTGGGATATGATATAGATCTTATTTTAAACTCTAAAACATTGTGATAAAAACGTGTGTGTTTAATGATAAAGAAACTACTAGAAAGTAATAGCCAATGGCTGGTCTGGGGGTAGTGGTGGTCTAATGGATAGTGAGGTGGGCTGAAGATCGGAAGGTTGTGAATCAAATCCCACCTGGAACACCACCACTAGTGCGCCCTTGAGTAAGGCACTTAGCCCTCAGTTACTCCAGGGAGAATGTCCCTGTAATTGGTCATTGTAAGTCGCTTTGGATAAAAGCGTCAGCTAAATGAAATGTAATGTAATAATACTAACTGATAACTGTAAGTCCTGCTGTGTGGTTTGATCACATGCTGAGAAACCTCTAAAGTCCTTCATGTGTTTGACATGTCGCCTCCATCACTCAACATGAAGAGAGAAACGCTTCAGTTTAACTATTATTATAAATAAATAGAAGAACAGTGTTGGTTTATTTTGCTCTCAGTATTTAAACAGCAGAAATGTTATAGTGTTTATTTGAATAATTAAACTTCTGATCCACATTAGTTTATAAAGTTAATCACATCTGGACTTACTGTGCCTTCCTGCAGTTCCTCACAGCTGGAATCAGTCTCTGTTTCCCCTCAGGTGATGTTTTGTACTTCTCCAGGTCCAACTCATCCAGAACCTCCTCTGACATCTGCAGCATGTAGGCCAGAGCAGAGCAGTGGATCTCAGAGAGTTTCTTCTCTGATCTGTTCTCTGACTTCAGGAACTCTGTGATCTCCTGATGTACTGAGAGGTCCTTCATCTCTGTCAGACAGTGGAAGATGTTGATGCTCCTGTCAGGAGAGATTGTTGTTCTCATCTCCTTCAGGTTGCTGATGACGGCTCTCTGGATGTTTTCTGGACTGTTGACTGTGCGACCCAGCAGGCCTCCTAACAGTCTCTGGTTGGACTCCAGAGAGAGACCGTGGAGAAAGCGGACAAACAGGTCCAGGTGGCCATTTCTACTTCTGAGGGATTTCGCCATGGCTCCCTTTAGGAAGACATCCAGGGATGGGTAATCCTGATCTCTGTTATACCTGTTGCTATAGTCTCTCTGCAGGAAATCCTTCAGTACCGCTGTGTCTCTGTTGGTGTAACAGTGGAACATGTAGACTGCAGCCAGAAACTCCTGAATGCTCAGATGAACAAAGCAGTAGACTGTTTTCTCAAAGATCACACTCTCTCTTTTGAAGATCTCTGTACAAACTCCTGAGTGCACCAAGGCCTCTGTGACATCAAGACCACAGCGCTGCAGGTCTTCTTGGTAGAACATGATGTCTCCTTTCTCCAGATGTTCAAACGCCAGCCTCCCCAGTTTCAGAAGAAGCTCCCTGTCAGCCTCCGTCAGCTGCTGTGGACTCGTCTCATGTCCCTCTTCATACTTCTGCTTCTTCCTCTTGGTCTGGACCAGCAGGAAGTGTGAGTACATGTCAGTGAGGGTCTGGGGCAGCTCTCCTCTCTGGTCTGTAGTCAACATGTGGTCCAGAACTGCAGCAGTGATCCAGCAGAAGACTGGGATCATACACATGATGTGGAGGCTCCTGGAGCTCTTGATGTGAGAGATGATTCTGCTGGACAGGTCTTCATCACTCGATCTCCTCCTGAAGTACTTCTCCTTCTGGGCGTCAGTGAAGCCTCGTACTTCTGTTACCCTGTCCACGCACTCAGGAGGGATCTGATTGGCCGCTGCAGGTCTGGAAGTTATCCAGACGAGAGCCGAGGGAAGCAGCTTCCCCCTAATGAGGTTTGTCAGCAGCACGTTGACTGAGGACTGCTGTGAGACATCAGACACAACCTCATTGTTACTGAAGTCCAGAGAAAGTCTGCTTTCATCCAGGCCGTCAAAGATGAGCAGCACTTTGCAGACAGCCAGCTGCTCTGCTGTGACCTTCTGTAAGGTTGGATGGAAAACATGGAGCAGCCTGAGAAGACTGTACTGCTCAGCTTTGATCAGGTTCAGCTCCCTGAAGGAGAGCGGGATCACCAGACTGACATCTTGGTTCCCCAAACCCTCGGCCCAGTCCAGAGTGAACTTCTGCACTGAGAAGGTTTTTCCAACTCCAGCGACTCCGTTGGTCAGGACCGCTCTGATGAGAGTGTGTTGGTCAGGTAAGGCTCTAAAGATGTCCTGGCACTTGATTGGAGTGTCATGGAGGGTCTTCTTCTTGGAAGCTGTCTCCAGCTGCCTCACCTCATGTTGGGTATTAACCTCTTCACTCTGGCCTTGTGTGATGTAGAGCTCAGTGAAGATGCTGTTGAGGAGGGTTTCACTTTGATCAGTTCCTTCAGTCACACGTTCACATCTCCTCCTCAGACTGAGCCTATGTTCATCTAAAACCTGCTGCAGACCACGTTCTGCTGGAAGAGAAGGGAACAGGAGAGAATCAGGAAATGCTTTTGAGAATATAACAAAAAAACTAATAAAAACAGAATGAGTTTAAATGTTTTATAAACATTGTAATGTCTTTGTTCTTCAACAGAATACCTAATAAAAAAACAAAGGAACCAGGAAGAGGAATAAGACGCTGCATGAGTTCGGCCTCTTACCTCGTACAGAGCTGGTCTGACTGGCTGTCTGCAGGCCAGCTCTGGTTCTGGGTCTTTCTCCACACTGGGGACAGGAGGGGTCTCCTGATGGAGGTCTCTGCTCCCAGTATGAGGTGATGCACTGTCTGCAGAACCAGTGTCCACAGCTGGTAGAGACTGGATCCTTCAGGACGTCCTGACACAGAGCACAGCTGGAAGGCAAGGCACATTTATTTATATAGCACCTTTCAACACAAGGCAATTCAAGGTGCTTTACAAAAATGAAAGACATTCAGACAAAGGCATTTAAAAACAGTAATTCAAAAGAAAAGATAATAAAATAAACATTAAAAGAAAAAATACATGAATAAAAGTTACAGTGCAGTTTAAGATATGAATAGTTCAATTAAAAGCAGCAGCAAAAAGAAAAGTCTTCAGCCTGGATTTAAAAGTATTCAGAGTTGCAGCGGACCTGCAGGTTTCTGGGAGTTTGTTCCAGATATTTGGAGCATAATAACTGAACGCTGCTTCTCCATGTTTAGTTCTGACTCTGGGGACAGAAAGCTGACCAGTCCCTGAAGACCTGAGAGATCTGGATGGTTCACAGGGGCGGATCTACCGGGGTGGCATGGGGTGGCGACTGCCACCCTAAACAATAGCCTTGCCACCCCAGCTGCCACCCCAGTTGGCAGCTTTGTTTTCAAAGAAAAGTTGTGGCTCATCGGAAATTTATGAGAGAAAGTCTCTAATGTCCGAGTGCAAGTGAATGCAGCACAAGATGCACGTCATGTAACCCCTCCCCCGGTCCTGGCGCGAGAGTGGAAATATGATTGGTGGCGAATTCACTTGAACGGGACGGCGCAAAACGAGAAGCCTTTCGGACCCAAGTACTGAAGGAATGAGGTAGTTACGGTCTGACAGAGAAGAGACTGTCAGTTTGGCTGTACTCAGCAAGGAATCAAAACGCACTACAGCTGTTGATCTTAATAAGTTTGTGAGGCGTTTTGCTGAACAGAATGGTAATCGCCGCATTCAGCTGTAATAGACATGCCAACTTGATGCTCTGCTCACGGATGACTCGATGAGAATAACAAACTGTTAAGATGATGACCTTGTATGCGTGTATATATTTTTTTATTTGAGGGGGTCTGCCCCCAAAAAACAGTTTTAAGTCCTGAGAAAGTAAAATAAGACGGTGTGTAAAACTACACTGCCCAGCCAACAGAAAGTAACCACTTTGATTGAACTAGGCCAGTAGGTAAGGACCTTCCACTGGATAATAACTGCAGCGATGTTTTAGCTGAATACACGTTTAACCCTAACTGATGCAGTTAGTCACTTCTTTAATGTTTGTTCTTTCTGATGTAAAGTCAAGGTTGTAACTGTATATCAATAATGATATAATTACTTGTTTTTCAACTTTGAAGGAGGGTGAGCAAGCATCTTGATGAACATTCATCATTAAATCCTCCAAAAAATATAGTTTATTCAATAATAAATGAATATGTGAATCATAACAGTTCTTCACTATATCTGTAAAGCGTCTTTGAGCACCTGTAAAAACGCTAACAAATTTAATCTATTATTATTATTATTATTATTTATTAACAGTGATTGACAGCTGATAGGAATAATATGATTGTTAATATTATCATATTCATTCAGACAAACATCGATGAGACAGTTAATTAATGTACTTATTGCAGCAGTCTGCATAGATTTGGTACCCCTGCTGGTCTAAGAGTGAGACAAACTCATTCAGTTATTGTTCAGATAAAATTCATTAAATTACGTCTGCCACCTTGTATGTAAGGCTTTACTGATGTGCCACAATAATATCACCTATGTGATTGAGTTAAAATATTAATATTGTGGCTTTCCAAGTTAACATTGATTGTAGGGGTGTAACGGTTCACAAACATTTCGGTTCGGTACGTACCTCGGTTTTAGGTCACGGTTCGGTTCGGTACCTTTTCGGTATAGCAGAAAAAATTATCACAAAACATTAAATATTTTGTTTTAATTATTATTAAACTGACTAATGTATTCAAATAAATACAAAATAAAATAAACATTAAGGTGCAGCATTTCGATGAACTGAAATAATCTGTATTTGAACTGTACTAGTACCTGAGCAGCCAGTTTGACATTAGGACTTGCTTGTCATTGTATTTTCATGTTGTTTTAAAGAAAGATGAACTTGTCCACATTGCTTGCTGAAAGGGCAGATCTGCTGGCACTAACAATGTCTCCTGATGTGGAGAAAACCCTCTCTAGGGACAGAGGTAGCAGACACAGCCAGGTAGCGCTTTGCTACCATGGCAACATAAGGATATTTGGCGTTTGTAATAGCTTTGGCTCGGTCTAAACTCTCTGCGAGTGGTGGAGGCTTACATGCTAGCGGGAGTTGGGTTTGCACTTCAGGCTTTTTTCTTTTGGTACCGGCGATATTCACGTTTGGGTGATGCCTTTTCAAATGAGTGTGATGTATTGTCAGCCGCGTAACCAATGTTAGTTGAACAATGTCGACAAACAGCTTTGGTTCGGTCTACCTGTCTTTGTCCGTCATCCTTGTACGTAACTGCGAAACCAAAATGTTCCCAAACCGGAGACTTCAATGATGCTGGAGGATTTTCAGCTCAACTTTATCTGCGTTCGCCATTTTGACAGTTCCTCAAATTACTGACTACATTTGAACGCATCCCTGTGACCAGCTCTCATAGTATGCCTCTCGTCCAATGAAATGACTTGGTCGCTCTATGATATATACCTGAGATTACTTCCAGAAAGTTGTTCTCAATTTTTACGTTTAACGCTATATTCGTTCGGTACACACGTGTACCGAACCGAAGGGTCCATACCGAATAATTTCAGTACGGGTACGTGTACCGTTACACCCCTAATTGATTGATATGATTGCGATTTCAATCAGCATATACTTCTGTCAGGGGATGCCACCCCTCAAAATCTCCTGCCACCCTCTTGCCACCCCATGAATATTTTTCTAGATCCGCCCCTGATGGTTCATCATTTAGCAGGAGGTCAGAAATTTATTTTGGGCCTAAACCATTCAAAGTTTTATAAACCAGCAGCAGTATTTTGAAATCTATTCTTTGACACACAGGAAGCCAGTGTAAAGACACAGGAACACCACTCTTCCTCTTCCCTCTGTGGAGATGAACACATCCTTTATACAGCCTGTCCTCCTACAAAAAACGACCATATAGGCCGATTGTTCAAGCCCTTATTACGACCCAGAGACACGTTTTAAAGTGTATGTTGTTGTGTATGTCATGTATAACGCCGTGCGTAGGATTCACGTGGGAAGGTTGCTTACGTAGTAGAAATCCGAAAAATAGGTCCATAAATGTTCCACCACTTCCCGATTCACCAAACATTGCGTACCGGCAAGGAAAGTGCGTATGGCACTTCCTACGCCGGTTTCCCTTTATAAATCACAACCGACTCGAAATGCGGTGCAGCTTTTGCGGGCTTCACGTAACGCCCATATTTGCCTATAAATAGTCAAAGAAACGCCCATTCATTCATTCATTCTGACTGACTGCATGAAGAAGATCGCAGGAAATGACGACAGAACAGCTACAAAAGACATCTCACGCCGTGTCAGATGTGGGTTATTTTGGGGAGGTCGAGATAAATCATATTGTTTGGTGGATGCAGTTTGAACCAGAGCAGCAGCATGGAGGTCGGATCGTCACCAAAATAAATAAATAAATGGCCCGAAAAAGGTTAATGACAAAAACAATACACATAGCCTTCCTCAGGCAGTGTGTTTGTACCGGGGACAGGAGACCCCCCCTTGATGAGAGACTGTAAGAAGTGATTGGGGAATCCCCCCGGAGTGGAGTCATGACGACTGGATCTGAATTATGTTTTTGTATTTGGTGGTTTGTGTTCCAGCTGTCGATCAGCTGTGCGCAGCGTCTCCACTGCACTCCCCCCCCCAGCAACCCTATATCCACCAGTTAAAGGAAATACAACTAATGTGTTGTGTTATATCAGCTGTACAATTTACCACATATGGTGTTCTTAGCTTCCATACCTCCTGTGTTTTACGAGCGACTTATCAAGTCTTGGCAAACAGCATAAAACACGATTAAACGTGATAGTATATAAAACCATGCTCGTATCTACAACCTATAGAAATGCAACACGGCGTCAGTTTAGACGTAATTCTGTCCTCCTGCTTACCGCATCATTTATGAGAAAACATTTCATAACATTAACACAACATATTCGAGGTGGTTTTAAATAACATATCCGTATTTATTTATTTATCCAAGTTATGCGTTTGTGTGCACTGAGGAGTCTCAAACAGGCGTTTGTTTCATCATTTTAAGATTGGCTTTAATCAATGTTTGAAAATGAATTCTTCATATATGATAAATGAGAGGTAACATTTTATTTATGGTATTATTTCCACATATTTCTCTCCATTCTTCCTTCTGCCAACGGTGTCGCAGTTTCTCGTCTCTCCCGTTTTTGTGCTTCGTGCGTACGCATGGGTTACAGTTTGCGTGGAGGACCGCACGTTTTCCCATCAAGTTAGTATTTGATAAATCGCAAACATTGCGTAGAAACTGGCGTACGCCATTTTTTGAGCATATATCGCTTTATAAATGAGGCCCCAGAACATGGTTTGGGTCAGAGATTATGTGGTTGGACAGCCTCACTAGGTTGTTATGATAGGTCAGAGTCTCTGACAGGTTGACCAACAATCTTTGAGCAGAGTTTTAACAGGTAGAGCAGTTTTGATTTTAAAGCTGCTGACAAACATTTGTACCAGGTAGTATTGCAGTACTGCAGAATGGACATGATCACAGATGTAAAGAACAACAGAATAATTTCTCTGCTCGCCCCAAAAGACCTAAGACGGCGGAGAAAATAAATTATTTGTTTTGTACAGATATTCAATGTGATCCTTCCACGTCACGTTTTCAGTTTTGGCGGCATTTCTTACAGTTTGTCAAAAGGTCTTCTGATCAGGGCTCTATAAATAAATATCTACGGCAGATATGTAATATTTAATGCAGCCAAACCGTGTATTACAATGCCGTTATGTGATGACTTCCAAAGAGAAAAGCAAGAACACTCGGAATAAAGTATTATTTTATTTAAAAAAAATGTTTTTCCGATTTCATATCGCATAAACACCAAATCCCGAGATGCATTGCGGCAATGTTTTAGCCTATCAAAACTTCTGAAAAAAGAAAGGTGCCTTGCCTTGGCTTGCCTAGCCTAGCCTAGCCTAGCCCGTAACTTTACATGGAGGCTTCCGCATACCTCAAATCATCTTCGTAATATCTATCAAACTATAGATCCTACATATCGACTGGACGTGGATTCTAAAAGTACAATATACACTTCTCGCTAGAAATGTAATCAAAAAGCGTTTTAATGGCCAAACTATCCGACAATTTAGGATTTTACAGAGAGGGTTATTTGTGAATAAACGACCATCTGTAACGTTAGCATTCAATGGGACTGGGAGCACTAGAGGGCGAAAACTTTAAAATGTAATTATAGGTCGTATTAAGCGCCTGAACAATCGGCCCATTTGGTCGTATGAGTTGGAGGACTTGTTGCCTTTATAGCACTTTACTTCAGAGGGGCTGATTCTCACCAAAGGTACAACAAGGGGGCACATTCTAGTTTGATATTTAAAAAAAGGTCTATATAATAAATACCCTTGTGATCAGAGCTTACAATTCACATGATCATAAAACCAAAGAGCATCCTGTCTGGATTCATGACCCAGAGGAGCACCTGTTCCCTGAATCTACACACACAGCTGCATTAACCTGGTGCACTATAAACCCAACTTGCATAGAATCTGCTGTGAATTAATAGAAATAAACATCTGGAAAGGATGCCTAAAGAACAACAGAATGATACTGATTTGTAAAAAGCCTGAGTTAATACTTTGTCAGGTCTGTCTCCAACACAACGAGCATAATGTTTTGTTCTGAAGAGATGGGTTTGATTAAAGCTAGGCTAACATTAGCTGCTCCATCAGCACTCAGAGTAACTTCATGAAGTCATAAGTACAGCAGTGAGTATATTGTTAGCACCGCAGACAGTCTCAGGTTTATACAGGAACATGAATAACCCTGATTGAATATGAGCTGCTGTAGAGCTCTGTTCTCCTCTCTGATTGCCCTCAGACCGTCAGAGACCACAGGAGCACAATCTCAACACTGACAGCTTTTTGTAACAGAGCGTCACAAACTTTACACTCAAGTTTAAATGTGTCACGCTGCACGAATACGCAGGTGACATGAATTTAACATCTTCACTTCCTTCGTGTTGCCAGTCACGGATCTGGGTCTTTGCATTGACTCTACATGTGATTTCATAAAACTCTGTTTTATCTGCTAATGCTAAACACAACCAGCTCACCAGGTTATCACTATTATTAATAAACACCTTAAAGACATATCATAGATATGCCCAAGTAGTTAAATAATGTTTTGGACAATATATATAGTTTTTAAATCAGTATTTATCAACATTGTTGCTATTTAAAACCATGTTATACACAGAGACAATGATAATATAATTGCATATTGAAATATCCTTAGATAACGTTAGCTTACTCTGCTGCGTGTGTCCTTTACAAACTGCTCACATGATATCATTAAAGAACAGTTTATTAGATTACATCAAAACTGAATCCTCTTCAGGTCAGGTTACAGTAGAAACTCTTACTTTGTGTCTGAGGGTCCTGGTTCATTACTGAAGTCTGGAGGATAATCTTTAGACCGGTCACTCTTCAGAGACCACATGGAGACCGTAGACTCTGCTCTCTGTCTGTGGAAACAACACAAGTTTAAACATCATTAGTTCATTTAAAGAGCAGCTTTTGATCTTTGACTGTTCACCTGATTAAAGACTTTTAGAGTTGTTGAGTCGTGATTGTGGGTTTCTGTTGTTAAAATTCATTCGTTTTACATATTTGTATTTTATTTGCTTAATTTAACACAAAGTCCAACATGTAGAGTGAGGATGATTTCACTGGTAGATTATTTACTGTCTCTGATGATGACAAGAAGCAAGAGATCAATTACACTTTGTTAATGTACTCTACTGGGTTTCATTAAACAGTTTAGATGATCAGATACCAACAAACTGAATCCTCTTCAGGTCAGTTTACAGTAGAAACTCTTACTTTGTGTCTGAGGGTCCGGGTTCATCACTGAAGTATGGAGGAAGCAAACGCATAGACCGGTCACTCTTCAGAGACAGACAGCTGGAGACTGAAGATTTGTCCTCTTCCTCATCTTTTAAATCACTCATCTTCTCCAGTCTGAGAGATAAAACACACACACACACACACACACACACACACACTTAAAATATATGAAATCAGTCAGACTTCAGACAGGCCGCTCTCCATTTAGTCTGCGCTGGGCTGTACGACGCTGAAGTTGGCTTCCGATTCAGAGCATCCGATTTGGCAGTGTTAAGGAGAAAGTTAAGGGACATTTAATTTACAGCGCTGAGCGAACAATCCTCCGTGTTTGAACCTCTTAAATCGCTGCATAGCCGATTTATTTGGACTGGATTATCCCAGAGACTCTAAAGATTCTTTATAACAGTTTCAGATTTGTGAAACCTTAATTCTATTTGTGAAAATTAAAAAAAATCAGGCATATCTTGCCTCAAAACGATGCAGAGAAACTAGTCCATGCATTTGTTATTTCAAGGCTGGATTATTGTAACTCTTTATTATCAGGGTTAACCAAGAAGTCAGTCAAGTCGCTTCAGCTGATTCAAAATGCTGCAGCTTGTGTACTAACCAGAGTTAGGAAAAGGGACCACATTACTCCTGTTCTGGCTGCCTTACACTGGCTCCCTATAGAACACAGGATAGAATTTAAAATTCTTCTTCTCGCCTACAAAGCCCTTAATGGGCAGGCGCCATCTTACCTTAAAGAACTCATTATACCCTACTGTCCTACTAGGGCATTGCGTTCCAAGAATGCAGGGTTGTTGGTTGTTCCTAGAGTCTCTAAAAGTACAATGGGAGCCAGAGCCTTTTCTTATCAAGCTCCACATTTGTGGAATCAGCTTCCAGTTTGTGTTCGGGCGGCAGACACCCTATCCGTTTTTAAGAGTGCGCTTAAGACCTTCCTTTTTGATAAAGCTTATAGTTAGGGCTGATTAGATTCAGCCTCTAGTTTTGCTGATATAGGCTTAGTTTGTCGGGGGACATCTTACTTCTTCCTTCTCTCTGTCTATACCTGTGTACTCTCATGTTCTGATTAACCCAGCTTCCCCACATTTCTTTCTTTTTGGTGTCTATATACGCCGGGATCCGGAGTCATGGATGATCCTGCGGTCCTGTGTCCTGGATCACGAGCCCTGGATCTTGAGTCGTGGCTGTGGTCCTGGATCATAGGTCCTGGATGGATATCCTCGTGGATTCATCTTCCTATTATACACACATGCATTTCCAAACATTTGGACTACCTATGTTGCAAATGTATTATCTTTTCAATTTACACACGGCATCTATTGAACGTCTGTCCGTCCTGGGAGAGGGATCCCTCCTCTGTGGCTCTCCCTGAGGTTTCTCCCATTTTTCCCTTTAAACTGTGGGTTTTCTCCGGAAGTTTTTCCTTGTACGATGTGAGGGTCTAAGGACAGAGGGTGTCGTATTGTCATACTGATATTCTGTACAAACTGTGAAGTCCACTGAGACAAATGTAACATTTGTGATATTGGGCTATATAAATAAACATTGATTGATTGATTGAAAAAAAGGCAGATTTCAGTGCTTTTTTCGCATCATGACCACATTAGACCAGGTCCTGATCTAAAACCACTAGACCTAGACTCATCAAATCTGGACTGGATTATCCCAGAGACTCTAAAGATTCTTTATAACACAGTTTGAGATTTGTGAAACCTTTATTCTATTTGTGAAAATACAAAAAAGGGAGATTTCAGTGCTTTTTTCGCATCCTGACCACATTAGACCAGGGGCTTCATGTATAACGCCGTGCGTAGGATTCACGTGGGAAGGTTGCTTACGTAGTAGAAATCCGAAAAATAGGTCCATACATTTTCCGACATTTTCCGATTCACCGAACATTGCGTACCGACGAGGAAAGTGCGTACGGCACTTCCTACGCCTGTTTCCCTTTATAAATCACAATCGACTCGAAATGCGGTGCAGGAGACCCCCCCTTGATGAGAAAACTGTAAGAAATGATCGGGGAATCCCTCCGGAGTGGAGTCATGACGACTGGATCTGAATTATGTTTTTGTATTTGGTGGTTTGTGTTCCAGCTGTCGATCAGCAACTATATATCCATAATCCACCAGTTAAAGGAAATACAACTAATGTGTTGTGTCAATTTACCACATATTGTGTTCTTAGCTTCCATACCTCCTGTGTTTTACGAGCGACTTATCAAGTCTTGGCAAACAGCATAAAACACGATTAAACATGATAGTATATAAAACCATGCTCGTATCTACAACCTATAGAAATGCAAAACGGCGTCAGTTTAGACGTAATTCTGTCCTCCTGCTCACCGCATCATTTATGAGAAAACATTTCATAACATTAACACAACATATTCGAGGTGGTTTTAAATAACATATCCGTATTTATTTATTTCTCCAAGTTATGTTTTTGTGTGCACTGAGGAGTCTCAAACAGGCGTTTGTTTAATCATTTTAAAATTGGCTTTAATCAATGTTTGAAAATGAATTCTTCATATATGATAAATGAGAGGTAACATTTTATTTATGGTATTATTTCCACATATTTCTCTCTATTCTTCCTTCTGTCGCAGTTTCTCGTCTCTCCCATTTTTGTGCTTAGTTGGTCAGAGTTGGAGGACCGCACATTTTCCCGTCAAGTTAGTATTTTATAAATCGCAAACATTGCGTAGTAACTGGCGTACGCCATTTTTTGAGCATATATCCCTTTATAAATGAGGCCCCAGGTCCTGATCTAAAACCACTATACCTATGTGACATTTCCACTGCAGCGGGGTAGCCCCGTTTAAGCATCCTCGCTCAGGCCTCGGGCTGCCTCGCTGGCCGTCCGAGGCCGTGGCGCATTTCCATTACAGTTTAGGACCTGGGGTAGCAACGCGGTGTAGGCGGGGCATCTGTGCCAGGGTCGGTTATAGGGGGGGCAGGGGGGGCCAGTGCCCACTAACACTGACCTCTGACCCCCCTGTGGCCCCCCTAACAATGAAAAGTTATTTTTTTTAAATGTATATTTTCTGGTACTCAGGATTTTGTTGCTGTAATGTGAGATTGTGCAGACACCCTTATGTAAAGTAGAGATGTAACTGTTCATTGCCTTTATTTTTATATAAATATGGTGTTAGTGCAAACATTGCACTATAACTTAAGCTGAAGCTAACAGTAATAACTATAAGATCTATCTGAAATAAATAAGTGTACTGAAACAAATACCAATAACTGTATTGCATTGTTTTCTTATGCGCAATTACTTCATACTGTCTAGTTCTCTTTTTCGTCCTGCATTTATTGTGCCCCCCTCAGAAAATAACTGGCCCCCCAGTCAAATTGGTCTAGAACCGCCACTGATCTGTGCAGAGACATCCTGGAACACTTTCACATTTCGAGTTGTTCTGTCGAGCTCCCGCTGAATTTTATCATCCCCAATGAGATGTAGGAAAGTCAAAAAATGCTGTGTATAAAAATGCTGCAAGCTTGCTTCTAGATATATATATGCGACCCTAGGGATGATCTCGCGCGCGATCTTGTGACGATTCTCTCTGACCAATCAGCAGTCGAGAGTGTTGACGTCACTAGTTCAGCCCTGCCCTGGCCTGATAGAACCACGATTTTATGGGGCCGGAAATAGAGGGAAAAAGTACCCGCTAGCCGGTGCTACGCTATATGGAAACGCCACCAAAAACTGGCCTGGCCGCTTGAGGACGATTAAGGACGCTTAAACGGGGCTACCTGCTGCAGTGGAAATGCGCCATTATAGTCATTTTACTGCATTTGGGTCCTATTTCTCCACTGCGGTCAAGCCAGCCTCCACTCGGGAAAACCTAGTCAAGCCAGCCCGCACGTGATATTGCGGTGCGCGAATATCCCTGCATTACAGTAGAGTCCTGGAAACATTGCCTTCAAAATAAAAGCACTTACTTGGTCAATAACATATACACCAAAATAACATACCAAACATATTAAATTAAGAAATATGTACTATATAATGTGATCAATAATTATTTAAAACAAACTACTTATAACTACCACATTATAAATGAGTGAATGTAAAACTTAAGGAGTTTCAAAATAAAAGACCTTTGAAATATCTATTGTATGAGCTATCATCCCTCTGTTTTTAGATGAGAATAAAACAAAAACTGTCCAGTATCAAAGACTCATCTCACTCCAGGGTGATAGCAGGACACCCCATCTAGTCACTCAGAAAAAATCAGGACATTCTGATGTACAGTTTCAAAATAAAAGACCTTTGAAGTCTCATATATGAGCTATCATCCCTGTTTTTAGATGAGAATAAAACAAAAACTGTCCAGTATCAAAGACTCATCTCACTCCAGGGTGATAGCAGGACACCCCATCTAGGCACTCAGAAAAAAACAGGACATTCTGATGTAGAGTTTCAAAATAAAAGACCTTTGAATTCTCATATGAGCTATCATCCCTCTGTGTTTAGATGAGAATAAAACAAAAACTGTCCAGTATCAAAGACTCATCTCACTCCAGGGTGATAGCAGGACATCCAATATAGTCACTCAGAAGAAATAAGAATATTCTGATGTAGAGTTTCAAAATAAAAGACCTTTGAAGTCTCAGATATTGGCTATAATCCCTCTGTTTTTAGATAAGAATAAAACAAAAACTCTCCAGTATCAAAGACTCATTTCACCCCACGCTGGTAGCAGGACACCCCATCTAGTCACTCAGAAAAAATCAGGACATTCTGATTTATTTTGAAAATAAAATGGTATGTATCACAATTGGGCATTTGTAAGATAGGACCCAAACACAGTATTAAAACAAGGGAGGCAGATATTGAGGACAAAAAAATGCGCTATTATATTTCATATAGTTTACATACGGTGTTTGCCAAAGTCTATATTCTGATGTATTAGTTTTGAATATTATTATTTTGTAATGGATAAAAAGGTTTTCAATGTGTACAATTTATGTTAAATATTATGTCTAGAATATAACACAAATAAAATAAAGGAACAAACCAGGAAGGCACGAGAAACAGGAATCCAACAATAACAACACAAGGGAATACGCAGGGCAAGACATATATTACATTACATTACA